GGGTAGTAGTAGTAGTAGTAGTAGTAGTAGTAGTAGTAGTAGTATGGCTCATGATCATCGATAGCTTTGTAATAACAGTATGTCGCCGTTCGTTTGTGATACACACTGCTATGGGTGTTAGCTGATGGAATGCACTTGTACAGGTCAGAGTTACTGGCCCCCAAACAGTATAATATCGACATAACAGCACATGCACTGTCGTGTCTACAGCAGGGACGATGGCTCAATGATGAGGTGGTCAACTATTACTTCATGATGCTACAGGTAATGATGATAAATTAGTACATATAGAGTACACGAAAAGGTTTTATATCATAGGATCGGAGTGATCGTCATAAAGGGAAGCTCCCACGAGCATTCCTTTGGAACTCGTTCTTCTGGCAAAAGCTCAGCTCCAACGCCACAGGCGCATACTCCTACAAATCAGTTGCGAGGTATAATACACCAGCAGCAGGAGAGAGTCCATCGTGATCCCTGTCTTAGGTGGTCCAAGCGGCGGCATGCTGATATCTTCTCATTCGATATGATGATAGTGCCAATCCATGTTGGGAAAACAGTAATTACAGTTCATCGCCTGACAACTTGGTCGATGAGAGCTTGCTCGAATCTTCCTCCTTCTCTTTAGCACTGGGCCCTTGGTGTGGTAGACTTGAAGGATTGTACACTGAGCTACTATGACTCACTTGGAGCATCTCATCCGAAGTTTTACGAGTACACATGGAACCCCTATAATGTCGGTACTCATATAACGTAGTTACATATCTCGTTATATCGAGGATGAGCATAAGGATAAGGGTTCTAATGCCCCATTACGGAAGCCTAGTGAATGGCAACGACGTGATGCGGTTATCACACCTACTTGCACTGTAGTACCCCGGTTTACTCGTCTTCTCCATAGCCTGTTCAGGTACCTCGTCAGAATAATTCGAATGATTGTGGAGTATTCATGTGCATGTTTGCCGAGGCTGTCTCAGGAGGAAGGTACCTGGGGGTATGCCGCTCAGTCCTCTCCTTCCTGCACCCAAGCATTGACGTGCACATCAGAGTCATTGTTTACATGTGGTATTATCCTGTCTAGGTCTATAACAGAGGTATCCCAAGACCTTATCCCGGATATGCGGTACAAGATGGCTTGCCAAATATCCGCGGGATCTATTCCTGGACCCATTGACTGAAGCATATATCATCGAGGAATACTCACCGTCCAAACGTAGACTACGCCCCTGCCTACTTCCTTGTTTCTAGTGTCATACATTTTGTGGACTATTACTCTCTATCGCTCCTACGTTTGTGTTCAGTGAAGATCAGATGGCATGTTGTCGATTTGATACTTCCCCTAACTAGTGAATCTGTGGTGAACTGAATGTTCCTCTGGGTGCCGCCTTGTTCCTAATGTACCTAAGTTCCAGCTGGGATGTACAGTCGACCACAAAGTGAGAAGCTATCTTTCTCAATGGTGGGATATTCCGAATAGTGATGGATTACTGAAGGATCGAGAACTGATACACTCCCAACCGCTATGGATGTTGCTTATCGGAGTGGAATACCATGTGGATCAGGGATTGATTTCATCAGGGGATATCTTATTACTGGTATTACTAACCTATACTTGGTGCTTTCCTTGCTAATCGGATCACTTTCTATGATTATACTGGGAGCCTCGAGCAAGTGGTTCGGTACAAATCGATATTCAAGAGAGCCAAGAGGAGCTGAGCATCATCCTTCATAAGGACGAACGACACCGGTCCAAGGACGTGGGATGAATATTACTTGTGGGGGGTAGGCTCTATGAGTGATTCGAGAGAATAATCAGCGCTACCAGCAGTCCTACTATCGACCCAGGCCCCGTGAGTAATCAACAATCTTCACCATAGTAGATGATGCTAGCGCCGCTCTCAGGTGTACTCGAGTAGAGGGGCCGCAGTGCGGATCCCATCACTAACTGTGTAGGTTTCGTGTATACGTTGGGGTACGTATCAGCATTGACATGTTGTTGGGCAATCATGCGGGGATGGGTAGTGTCACACTACTAGTGTGGTGAGGGTGTGCTCCCAGGGAGGCGTGGCAACCAATGAGCTATCTGCTCATCTGCGGTAGTGTCCATTTAGGAAAAGACGTCCAGATTGATGATTGTCGTGTACGTAAAGAGATTCATGCTAAGACCAAGATAATGATGATAACCTACGGGCTACAATCATGTTTGCGTCAAGCTCTCAGTGTAGTCGAGTCAGCTAGTGAGTGATACGTTCTACGTGGCCTCTGATGAGAAGGGTAGGACATCGGTAGCAGATGGTAGAGGGACGGATGGCTGTTCAACATACCAGTATACTGGAGTTGTCCGAGCAACTGTTACGAGTGCACACCATTGGAACAACTACCCGACCACTTGGTATTGCTGTTGGGGGTAGCGCTAGTGTTATCATAGCCATGTGTGAACAGGCTGTGGCGGGCTCCATCTGCGGAGAGGGGCAGAGGTAGGACTGTTGATGTAGCAGATAGCTGAGCTAGAGAAGAGGACACTGGAGGGATCTTTCCAACTAGGATGAACGTGATGCATGACCCACAGGCATCACTTACCTTTTGTGATGTTGTCGTTGCTGGAGGGGCTGTTATATTCGATTCACGGGGGCTCCTAGCCACTCTTAGGATCCACTTTATTCCACCTTTTATCAATGCCAGGCTGC